ATCATCAGTGCCCTGATGATCGGTGCCGATCCCCGCTCTGACAACTGCCGGTTCTCGGCAGTACTTTCCTCACGATCTGACAGCGTGAGGAAAGTGCAGCCGAGAACCGGCACTTGCATTTCCCTGTGATCAGCGTGTCATTGGACACCGCTGATCACGTGGTAAAAGGCCGGTGGGATCGGCCTTTCACCACATCACGTGATCAGCTGTGTCCGTAGGACACAGCGATCACGGAGATCGCCGGGTGCGCGCCCCCTGGGGCGCGCAGGAGAGCGCGTTCTGGGAGGACGTCATATGACGTCCACTCAGAACTGGCCGGCCGCGGTGAAGCCGTCATTCGGCTATGCGCGGTCGGCAAGAAGTTAAGCAAAAAATTCCCATCATTAAGTCCACCAGGTATGGGAGAGTCAGTGGTCATAGCCCCCATAAATCACACAGAACGGGCATCAAGGAAAACATGACAGGTGATGTGGAACGAGTAAAGAGTAGGTTCAACTAGCCCCAGAAAACGGGGAAATAAAAAAAGGACAGTAAAAAGTAATAAAAGGAAGTAAATAGGAACAAGGAAAGAAGAGGGTCAAGTCAGGAAGTATCAAGGCACGGAAATGTATTGAATCCATGGGCCCCATGCTCTGTCAAATTTGTCTGCATTGTTGTGCAGAATACAGGTGAGTCTGTAATTAATTATGATCAAATTCAATTTATTCTTAACATATTCAAGTGGAATAATTGATCTCTTCCAGTGTTTAGCAATAGTGATTCTTGTTGCTAACAGCATATAGGTAAGCAATTTAAGGGATTTTTTTGGCACTGTACTTGGAAATTTATGAAAGAGGGCAGTCTCCGGGGCCTTGCGAACATTCACCCCCGTCACCGTGCAAATAAGGTTAAACATGCGGATCCAAAATTTATTTGCTATCGGGCATCGCCACTAGATGTGGAACATAGAACCCATCTGGCCGCAACGCCGAAAGCACATAGGTGAGGCAGATGGGTGTATCCTCGCAATCCGGGTCGGAACCAGATGTCATCACAATAATGTTTTATAATTTGCCTCAATTAAGGTGGTATTGATGGAAACCTTTGACAATGCCAAGGCTATATCTTGCCAATCGGTTAGATCATAGCTAACATTCAGGTCCTTTTCCCATTGATCCATATAGGGAAACTAACATTCAGGTCCCTTTCCCATTGATCCATATAGGGAAGTTTACAGCTCGGATCAGTAAGAAGGGCATAAACCATAGAAATATGGCCTCTAGAGAGATTATTATTTTTAAAATAAAGTTCGAAATTGGTAAGAGTGGGTGGTCCATCTAATAAAATAGTTTTTGAGCGAATAAAGGAGGTGATTTGTGTAAATCTAAAGATTTTGATGGGATGCATCTACAATTTTTCTTTAAAATATTGGAGAGGGTAAATTCAGGCACCCCGGAGGTAATCCCCTATCCTCAGTAACCCTTTGTTGATCCACCATTGGAATGGAGCCGGAACCATGCCAGGTACAAATTCAGGGTTACAAAAGATTGGGGCTAAAGATGTGTGTGAGGAAGCCAAGGATTTGCGATGGCGTACCCTATCCCAGACTGTCAATAGAAAAGATAATATATATAGATAATCCAGGATGGGAGTGGATCGCCATAGCTAAGGTTCTATTGCTATTGAAAAAAAGTAGTGGGGAAAGTGGACAACATCTAGTACCGCGTCAAATTGGGAACACGGATGATCTGTAACCTCTAATGGACACTTGAGCTGAGGGAATGTTGTATTAAGATTGTAGTAGTGTAAGAAATGCAGGACCAAATCCATAAACTCGCAAAATAGTAAACAAATATTCCCAAATTAAGCTATCAAAGTCTTTATGGAGGTCCAGAGAAAAAAGCAACAACTCCTGAGAAATAGGAGCATCCCAATTAGAGCGGACAGCGGAAATCAAAGCTATGGACCTACGAATCTGATCCTGCATTTGGCGACCAGATATGAAACCCGATTGGTCTTTGTGAATATATTGCGCCAAAAAAGAATTAAGACGCAGGGCCAGGAGTTGTCAGGATTTTCAGGTTACAATTAATTAGCGAAATAGGTCGATAATTAAGGATATTGATAGTTTCTTTATTAGGATTAGGGATAACGCTTATAAATGTTCTGTTTTCGTCTAAAGGAATCACACCGTTCTGACTCAAATGTTGAAGTAAAGAGCCATGTGGGGGAGAAGTTGTTCAGAAAATGTTTTATAATAGACATTCGATAAACCGTCTTTAGCATTTTATTACTTTACCAAGCTCCTCGCTATTGATAGGTTGTTCCATAGGTTCCCTGTGGGCCTCAGTAAGGGCCGGACGCCACAGGGTTCCCAAAAAGTCCTGAAGCAGAAAAGGCTCAACAGGCCAGGATTGGCCGTATAAGGTAGCATAGAAGTTATTGAATTCCTGAAGGATCTTCTGAGGATCCTGTGAGACATGACCTCCTGAGAGCCTAAGCTTAGGAAGGGGCGAGTAGGTATGCTATGCTATGCGTCCTAGGACTGGAGGAGGGGAGCTGGGCCCACTGTGGTGGTGTATGCTGTTTCTCCTCAGCAACTGAAGAGCTCCGAGAGCTGGGTCTGGCCACCATCTTGCCGCCCCCCTCCCTACTTCATTGTGGCAGTGCGGGAGCCACTCGCAGATCTCCCAGCCAGTCGGGTGGGCATCGGAGGTCCCCCACCTGCTCCACAAACAGGCCTGATAGGTGGCAGGGTGGAACGGGTTGGAAGGAGCGGAATATCCCCCTGAGGCGCCGGGAGTGTGCGGAGCAGTCAGAACTTCATCTGCTCCGGCCGCTTGAGCATGCGTTCTTCTGTACATTTTTTTTATTGTTGCATTCTGTACCCTTAAAGTATTGTTTTGAAAAAAAAAATCTGACATCTCTGCAATCGTCATTTATCAACTTAAAGACTGTTTTTTTTCCTTAAAAATAACAAACATGTTATACTTACCTGCTCTGTGGTTTTGCACAGAGCAGCCCTGATCCTCTTCTTTTTGGGTCCCCCGGTGGCACTCTAGGCCACTCCCTCCTGCCAAGTGCCCCCATAGCAAGCAGCTTGCTAGGGCGGCACCCAAGCAGGCTCGCTCCTAAACCACTGCTCTGTGTGTCCATTCACACACGGAGCGTGGCTCAGCTTCTCCCCTGTTCTCTTCTCATTGGCTCACTGGCTGTGATTGCAGTAGTGGGAGCCAATGACTATTTCTGAAGTCTCAGCCAATGAGGATGGAGAGTCCTGGGAGAGCCGAGGAATGCATGTAGGTTTAAAACCTTGAGCCTTTACAACCACTTTAAAGACCATGTAACTACAGAATATTATCTGCTGATCCTGGCAGAAATGCATTCAGCTCCTAAGTCCTTTTGTGGACTGAAAACACAGTGCCTTTGAAATGAAATTGCAAGTATTGGTCTCAGCCCTGCTCAGCTGTCTTTTGCTGCAATATAGAATGCCTCCTTATTTTCATCTCCACAACATGGGATATTCTGTAGTCCAAGAGAAGAACTGGGGTAGGGGACTGATTAGACTACCAGAAACAGCACGGGCAGATAGCACAGAAAATTATCAGCTCAGAAGATTTCTATTAGGATGAACTTTATTTTTTTGCACTTATCAAACAGACAGAACAAACCCCTTTGATGGTATATTTAAAAGAACAAAAGTGAGCAAATAATAGAAGTCCAGGCAACATCTATTTTTTTCTTACATAATCTGTATTATTAAAGGTTTGTACAGAAGAGTGTGAAGTAGTGTTTGGTGCATATTATTGAAACATAACTAAAACCGGAGCACTCAGAATCTGGTGCAGCTGTGTATGGCAGCCAATCAGCTTCTAACTTACACTAATTACATTAAGTTTTGACAATAAATCCTGGAATTTGATTAGTTTCTATGTAGAGCTGAACCAGGTTTTTTTATGTTCCAGTTTTAGTAAATCTCCCCCATAGTAAGCATTCTTGAACACCTGGTGTGTAAAAAGTGTTTTCAGTAAATAGCTCATTACAAACAAGTTCTAAATAAAGGGGCTATTTAAAAAAAAAAATCACTGTGCTAAATGCCTCAAACAACTGAAAAATTACAATGAAATATTGCTGTAATATGTTTATTTCCTTTGACTGTCAACCCACTTAGTGGCTATGCAGTATTTTCTTGATTGAGGTATTTCAGGAAAATACTGCATTGTGGCCACTAGATGGCGCTGATGTTACTGGCAGGAACACCAGGTATTTCACACACAGGAAGCAATACAAAGAGAACAGGATCTCAGCCTGCTCTCCTCCAATGAACGGATTTGTCCTGACACACACCCCTGCACAGCCATTCATTGGAAAGAGCAGTGTGCTGCTGTTTCTCCTCTCCCATCTCTTATGCTGCTGAGAACAGAGGGAATGCGTTCATTTATAAAAAAAGGAAAAAAATAAAGTGTTTATAATTTATTTTATATATGTATACCCAAATGTTTTGCCTGTCACCTCTATCTTAAACTGAATTGGTCTTTACAAGATGAGGGTTTGCATATACTTTAACCACTTGCCCTCCAGAGGATTTATCCCCCCCCCCCCTTCCTGACTGGGCCATTTTTTGCGATAAATAAAAAAAATTTTTCCTCGAAAACAGAGCTTTCTTTGATCACCTGTGCGCTTTTTATTTTTTGTGCTATAAACAAAGACCAACAATTTTGAAAAAAAAAAAACCCTAATATTTTTGACTGTTGTGCAGAGAAATACACAGCAGCATGTCCTTGCTGGCAGTAGAGAGACCTGTGTTATTTACATACAGGACTCTCCCCTATCAGTTCTACACAGCGATCGCCAAGAATCTACAGCCTGGACCTGACCGATTACATGCCTAGCAACCAATCCTAGAAGCCATGCCCCCTACCCGGAAATGCAAATCACGTATATATAGTTAGTTCTACTATAGGGCGGGGGCAAGCGGTTAATAATGGTAAAATTGTACAAATATAAACTTTATATTTTACCTCATATCCTTTGAGAGATGGACCGACAAGAACTACTGGCCGCATAGATGGAACAACATCATAGGGTGCGATGTGCTCTGTCTGAAAGGTAACAGAATCTTTTAGCTGAAGAAAAATAGCTACAATATATTGTACATCAACAGAATTCTGCTACGTGATTCATGGAACGCCTGCCAGAATCTTGCTATTGCAATTAGTGTTTTGTGGTAACAGCCAATACTTATTATTGGTCTGAAAGTGGTCAGTGTTTGAAAGATTGCAGTGTGTGCCTTGGAAAATGTGCAGAGCAATAGCTTAATCTACCTTATTTTACAGTATATAGTAAAGGCTGGACAATAGAACCTGTCAATTAATTAAGAACACAAGTGCCAGCATGTGTGTAGCAGTAACACATACAGTAGCAGCAGTTTGGCTACCAATATACAGCCCAATGTTCTCAAGAGATTTTACTTATTTGAGCATTATTCATGAAAATAGGACAAAGTAAGATTTAACAAGAGAGTGATAATATTCACATGATAGATTCAAAAATGTTTGCATTGACTTCTATGTTGTAAAAATCTCTGCACCTGATTCAGGAAAGCATAGTCTCTGGAGTCGGCTTTTTGTAATTCTTAATTTAACAAGTTTTAAAATATAATAAGGTACATGAAATTTGGAGTCATTTGAAACAGAACAACACTTTCTGGTTATATAAAACAGAGAAACACCAAACACAAGGCATAAAAAGTACAATGAAGCTCGAGGCAAGGGGTCAGCTACAAAAAGTTTACAAGACAAGAATACATGTGGAACCTTTGATGAAAAGGTTTTGTAGTTGCACTGAGTCAAAGAATAACAGTGGGATGCTGTAGGCTTTGGACAATTTCCCAAGTATGTCAGGGTAGGCTTGGGACAAAGCAGCTAGGAGGGGAAAAGAAAACGGAGGGGGATAGCAGGAGTTGTAGTAGGAGTGGATGAATGGAGAGAGAGGGAGGAGGGAGAAGACAGTAAGAATAGGGATTCCCTGGTGACCTCCTATGGAAGTCCAAGGGGAGGTTATTGGGTGGCAGGGGCGAACTGACCATTTGGAAACTCGGGCGCTGTCCGAGGACCCGGGGTCAGTAGGGGGCCCCATGAGATGCCCCTGGTACCTTTTTCATAGGCTTTTTTTGAGTTTGGGCAAGGACACAGGGGCCCCATGATCCCCTATTGTCCGGGGGCCCCATGAGTTGTCAGTCTGCCCCTGTTGGGTGGCATAGGGAATGGTCATTGGGTGGCACAGCGAATGGTGATGCCTAAGGGCAACAAGAAGGTTGGTGGGAGCAGAGAAGGGGGTGTGGATAGGAAGGGAGGAAGCAAGTAAAGAGTTGGACAAGGGCTGTGGGGTGAGGGAGGAGGGAAAGAATACAGGTGGTGGGTTGAGTAAAAGAGGCGGCATGAAGAAGGAAGGATGCAGACAGTGTGGTAAGGTGAAGAAAGCTGGAGGGGTGGGGTGGGAGGATGGAGTGGGAAAAGTAAGGTGATTGTGTGTAAGGGGCTAAATAGGGGTTGGCTTACTATAGCCTTCAGATATCTACCCCTTATTTTTACAGGGGCAGCAGTAGTCTGGGTCCTAGGTGGGGAGATGTTAAGCTACAATGGGGGTGCATGAGATGCGCCATCATAATGTATATGAATGTGTGAATCTGTGTTTCTGTGACGAGCTAAGTGGCTATCTTGGAATGGTGATGGGGAGTGTGGGTAAGATATGAGGATATAATGAGTGTGTTTTCACCAAGGGATAACTAAAGGGCCCTATACAACATGGTTTAACCCAACAACACAGTAACAGAATGACCTAGAACAATTATTAACAAACAGGATTCAGTGTTTGTGGCTCAGAGAGGTGATATAGGTAAGTAAATCTGAACATATAATCTCAGGAAGTGAGACCAGGGGATAATGAAAACTGGCTGGGAACTGGTCTTTACTGAGGTGCAGAACACATTAGGTTATAAGATATCAATCTGGAACCCTGAATCTGTATTTGGAGAGTTGTCCATTTTAAATTATAGGGAAGGAACAGCAAGGCTCAACACTATTAGTTTTGGATACAGGATTCCATAATGGCCAATGTTTTGGGACTGAGCAAACAGCCCAGTGTGTGAGAGGTGAGAAGCAAAAACATAGGTGCAGAGAGGTTTGGTGCATTAGGTTTGTCTGGCAGTGCCTATGGTTATGGGCAAGTTATTCTAGTGCCAATCCCATACGTTGGGCCCCTAAAGCAGTGCTTCACATGAACTATCAGAAAAAGCAGTGTGGAGAACATTATATACGTAGAAGACAGCTCACTATCAAGTAGATACTGTTCTATCATGTTTTCCACTACGGCCTGAAGTCTCAGCTCATCTGTACGGAATGTGCTGGTGCACAGCTTGTCTCAGAAGTGTCTTTATGCCACCATAGCATAGACAAAGCCCATGTCTGGAGATGTTTAAGATTAATAGACACTAAAGAGTATCAGTTGATTTCCATCATACTGTAAGGACCCAAAACAAGGATCTTTGCCAGTCAGGTACATGTGCATGCTTGTTTGCATGAGCATGCTAATTCAACTGGGCAATTTACGGGGGCATGTAGTGCGAACATATAATGGTATATATGCAAGGACATGCACACCTAATTCTAATCTTGGTGCCAAGTGGCATAATAAAGGAACAGAACTGAACTAAGAAGTTGCTGAATAGTCCAACACATGTTTCCCTGTGACCAGAATCTACACTTGTCCTTGTGATCTGCGTAACCATTGCTAACTCAACCTGCCTCTAGACTTGTCTCTGCTCTGACCTTCTGTTGTGACCTGGGTTGATCCTGACCTTGTCCTCATTTTTCTACTCGTTGCTGAACCGAATAGCTCTTGGCCTTGGCTTGACATCTGACCAAGATTCTGCCGATTGCCTGCTGTGATCTAGTCTTGCCTCCTGACTTTGATTCTGCTGATTTCTCGGTGTGACCTTGGCTTGTCCTTAGACCATGTTTTGCCTTCTATACTGCCTGCTATCTGTCTTCCTGTTTGCTAACCCTGGGTTGTTTAGGACCCTGTCATGGGTTGAGGTGTTCCTGCCAGGTTGAGTTCCAGTTTGCTCCTCAGTAGCACTCTCACTCACCTTTGTAATCTGCTCTGAAGTCTGCAAGACTCCTCCCTGTCATCTACCAGATGTGAGAACCTTTGGACTGAACTCTTGGCACTTTGTGCTGCTCTGTGTCCTTTCATTCCCTATCACTATTCCAGGGCTGTGTGGACCAGAGATTTAAGAGAAGCCCTCTTGTCACTTTGACCTCTAACCAGATACATGAAACAGACTGGTGGGCAGTGGCATAAAAAGGATTAGCTGGGTACAAATGTTGTCCACAACCGTATGAATTGCTACCTCATTGATAACAACCTTCTTGATCCCCTACAGTCTGGCTTCCACCCACAACATTTCACTGAAACTGCCATTAAAACTCACCAATGACCTACTAACTGCTTTAACCAATGGCCAGTACCCCATAATCATACTCTTAGACCTTTCTGCTGCCTTTCACACAGTTGACCACCCACTCCTCCTCAACAAATTCCACTTCCTTGTCCTCCAAGACTCTGCTCTTTCCTTGTTCTCCTCCTACCTATATCAGCGCACTTTTAGTGTCACATACAATACCATCTACACCGCTCCTCTTCCTATAGGGTTCCCCCAAGGATCCGTCCTTGGGCCCCTCATCTTCTCTCTCTATATCTCTTCCCTGGGCCAGTTGATAACCTCCCATGGCTTCCAATACCACCTCTCTGCTGATGACACCCAGATTTATCTCTCCACTCCTCAACTCACCCCCTCAATTTCCTTACATATCGCAAATTTACTGAGTGACATATCAGTATGGATGTCACACCACTTCCTCAAACTCTATCTTTCTAAAACTGAGCTTAAAATTTTTTCCTCCTCTCGGATCCCCTCCCCATGACTTTACCAATGAGATCAACAGAACAACCACTGGCCCCTCCACACATGCCAGAGTGCTAGGTGTAATCCTAGATTCTGACCTCTCCTTCAGTCCCCACATCCAATCACTGACTAAATCTTGCCACCTTAAGAATTCACACCTTCCTGACTAACCACACCATAACACAGCTTATTCACTTCTTGGTTATTTTCCTCCTTGACTACTGCAACTCCCTCCTCACTGGCCTACACAAGCTACCCCCCTTCAGTCTATTATGAATGCTGCTGCTAGACTAATACACCTTACTAACCGATCTGTGACTGCTGACAATATGGGGGATGCCCCTCTTCCAATCTCTTCACTGATGCTTCCACTAGCCCAATGTATAAAATGCTAACCACAACATACAATGCCATCCACAACTTCGCCTCCCCCCCCCCCAATCCTCTCTGCTCCTCCCAAGACCTTCTGCTCCCTTGTTACCACCCCCACACTTGCCTCCAGGACTTCTCTAGAGCCTCTCCCATCCTTTGGAATGCCCTGCCCCCGTATGTCCGGTTAGCTCCTACCCTGTCTGCCTTTAGGCAATCCTTGAAAACTCATTTATTCAACTCCACCTCCACCTAAGAACTGTACTCGAGTCATCTCCATCATTCCCTGAAGCTATTACCTTTTGTACCACCTCACCCTCCCTTTAGGTTGTAAGCTCCATGAGCAGGGCCCTCTTATTCCTTCTGTATTGAACTGTATTTTAATTGTACTGTCCACCTTTGTATTGTAAAGCGCTACATAAACTGTTGGCACTATATAAATCCTGTATAATAATCTATTAAAAAGAAGCAAATCTTCATCTGTAATGAGCAAATGTGCTTGCGCCATTTGATATATAAATATACAAAGCTTACACAGAAATTTGATTTTTAACATTAATATAATTTGAGGAGATCATTTACATTCAGCTGATCTTTCACATGTATATCTAAAAACATTTAAAAAAGATAAGCGTTCCCCTAAGAGAATCAACACATCTAAAATTGTTTGATTTCCTGCCCATCTGCCCTGTTCCATAAAACATCTGGCAATGCAACTCCAGGCAGATAATACAATCAGGCTCATTGAAGGCAAAGTGCAAAATGCAAAATAAAGAAGCCCACAGGATTCAATCCGCAACCACAGATCAGACTACACTGAACTAAAATCTATTTGGCTGCTATAGATTGCTGTAGATTGCCTTGGTCCCCCAAGGCTCTGTCCTTGGACCCCTTCTCTTCTCCATCTACACCTCCTCCCTGGGCAAACTCATACACTCCCACGGCTTCAACTATCACCTCTACGCTGACGACACTCAAATTTACCTCTCCACCCCTCTCCTCCTCACCCCCACTATCTCCGCCCGCATCACTCACCTCCTAAACGACATCTCAGACTGGATGTCGCTACATTTCCTCAAGCTTAACCTCTCCAAAACCGAGCTCCTTGTCTTTCCCCCTGCCCATACCCCCCCCCCCCATCCTATCCATCATCACCAACAACACCACTATCATTCCCGCCCCGCAAGCCAAAGTCCTTGGCGTCATTCTTGACTCGAACCTCTCCTTCCAACCTCATGTCAAATCACTCGCAAACACCTGCAGGCTCCACCTCCGTAACATTGCCAAGATACGTACCTTCCTTACCCCAGACACCACTAAACTACTCGTACACTCCCTGATTATCTCACGCCTTGACTACTGCAACTCCCTCCTCACCGGCCTACCCCAGTGCAAGCTCTCCCCGCTTCAGACCATCCTGAACTCAGCGGCTAGACTCATCCACCTCACCAACCGCTCCACCTCTGCCACCCCCCTCTGCCTCTCCTCTACTGGCTCCCGATTGCCCAACGCATCAAATTTAAACTTCTAACCCTGACCTACAAAGCCGTTCACAACACTGCCCCTGACTACCTCACCAACCTGATCCCCAAGTACCGCCCTACCCGTACCCTTCGCTCCTCACAGGACCTCCTTCTATCCTGCTCCCTGGTCTCCTCCTCCCATGCACGACTGCAAGACTTCTCCAGGTCCTCCCCCATCCTCTGGAACTCACTGCCCCAATCCATCAGACTGTCGCCTTCCCTCCTCACATTCAGGCGCTCCCTCAAAACCCATCTCTTCAGGGAAGCCTACCCCACCCTCACCTAACGGCCATTCTCCCTCATTCCTCCCACCACTTCATTCCCCTCAGCCACTTCCTACTGTACCACTACCCCCTCCCTCCTAGATTTTAAGCTCGAAAGAGTAGGGCCCTCTTACCCCTCGTACGTTGTTTGTTATTGTTGTACTGTGCCATGTATTGTCCCCCCTATATTGTACAGCGCTGAGCAAACCCTTTGGCGCTATATAAACTCGATGTAATAATAATAAAAATAATAATACTTTGTCGAACAGATGCAAAATAGTAACAAAGAAAGATGTTACTTATTTTACAAGGTTTCCCCAATAAAAAAAGTATGCATGGCCCCACGGCAATAATGTCAGTCAACAATAATTATTTCTCAGTGCAGCTTTGAAGTTGATTGAATGCTAGAGGTCAATACGGACAATTCTTATAGGTGAGCCTACATTGATTCTGAATAAAAGCAGACTAGCCAGTCCTGGGATGATGTTGTCTGTCCATATTTTACTATTAATGTAAGAGTGGATAACTGGGGATCTCACCCCACTACATCTGTAATGATCATTTTATGAACATCTTTTTTTTTATATTCTCTCTTCAGAATGAGCTTACCTGTTTTTGCTTCTGTTTGGCTTGTTTAGGAAAAGAAAGCATTGTACAAAAAATACATTAGTGACAACAGTAGAAAGAAAAACTAAAAGCAAATTTAATTATATTTTCAATCTGAGCCCTTTGTATGCACGTTTAACAACTAGACATATCAATCAGATCATTTGTCAGTCACTCGTAAACACAAACTAAGTAACTGTCCTAAATATTGCCTACAGATGATCTGATCTGATCTATATATATATGTTGGGACTAGTGGTTATTTGAAAGCTGAAAAGCTGCAGGCTGCAAAAGATGCAACTTGGACAGGATGTCTCATGAGGATGCTTTATGAGGACAGGTAGAGAGCAGTTACCAATATCAGTCAATAATCATCTTTAATTGTTCTGATTGCTCTAAACTACTGAAAAAGGACCATCTATATAGTTTATGTTTTTTTCTCAATGGATACAAGGAGGGTTATTTACTAAAGCTGGCTCACTCAGAATATTGTGCACTTCTAAATGGAAACCAATCAGCTTCCAGGTTTTATTGCTAAAGCTTAATTGAACAAATGTAGGCTGGAAGCTGATTGACTACCATGCATGAGATTCTGAGTGAACCAGCTTAACCCTAGGTTCACCCCTATGCAGGTTGCGTTTCTGCATTGCATTTTGCGTTGTTTTACATTTGCGTTTTTGATGTGTTTTTTTTAAACCATTTTTATTGTTCTTGTTGCTAGGCAGATTTTAACCGCAAACCACATTAAATACGCAGCAAAAACGCAATACATGCTTTTCTGCAGTGTTCCCATTGAAGTCTATAGAACCAAAAATGCAACGTTTTGCGTTCCAAAAAGTCCTTGACCCTTTCCACAAAATGCACTGGGTGAAAACACAGAGTTGTGAACCTGTCCCATAGGAAATCCTGTTAAATGGACTGTAGTGCTTTTCTGCAAAATGCTGCAGAATACGCTTAGGTTTGAACCTAGGGTTAGTAAATCTCCCCCAAGGTGTTATCTGATTGGACAAGGTGGAGATTGTGATATTATAACTTCACCCCTCCACCTTGTCCAATAAGAAAACACTTTGCATTAATGGAGAAAATTGCAAGGCAATTGCTAAGGACTCTTTCACACTGGATGCGACTTGGCATGCGATTTGCATCCCCTGCAACTTGCAAATCGCATGTCAAGTCATACCCTATTGTCTGCTATTAGAGCGGTTATACCGGTCGGAGCTGCACCGATTTCAGAAAAGCACATGTTCTACTTTTGTTGCGATTTGCATAGACATCTGTGTCAGACTGTGCATCTGCGCAAATCGCAAGGAAATTGGCATCTCACCCGATTTTGAAATCGTGCGACTTCACTGTAAGTAGCATGATTTCAAAATCGGATTTGATGTGAACGGAGCCTTAATGGTGCCAGAGCAAAGCAAGTGACAACCCCCCCCCCCCAATCACTTTGCAGCAGGGCAGCTGCTCGGCACGAAACCCAGAAGATAGTGAGGATCATTGTAGCAGAAGTGGCTACCACAATTATTTTCCGCTTCTACAAGCATAAGCTGGGTATGGAATAAGTATACTGACTTTGGCCCAATGTAACTATGCAAAAAAAAAAAAAAAACCCCATGGGATTCAGCTTTACTACGTTCTGCTTGGATCCCGAAAACTGAAGGCTTTGTAGAGCTTTGGGTGCGATAAAGTCTCCATTACTAGATCCACATCTGACCTGTGCAAAAGGTCTTTATACAGTATATGTAAGATGACTGATGCTCAGGGCTTTCTCTCTTGCTCTCTCTGCTGTGGTAACCTGCTGTGGTAAATGCTGAGTGCTGATAAAACACTAAAAAAGTGCTACATAGTACTCCTCTGGAGGAGGAGGACTGAGTGTGATTGATGTTTCGGCCTACTGTTTTTCTAATGTGAAGCTTTTTGTAGTCAGACTATCTTGTGATTCTTAATTTTTTTTTAAAGAATTTATAAAAAGTGCTGCCTGTTTGAGGAGTTTTCTTTCTGCTCTATGAGGATGCAAAACCCCGCCCTCTGTCTGGCCAGTGCTGATTGGCCCTGTGTTGATCACATGCACTCTCCCAAGAAAAAAAAAAACAAAAACCTCTCTAGCAATACACACTAAACTGAGCATGTGCAGAATGGCTATGGGTTCAGTCTGTCTTATCAGGAGATAAGAAGTGGACATTGGAACAAGAAGAGGGGCAGTGAAGACAGGTTCAAATGGCCTTTTTACACAATGCAGAGGATTAACCCCTTAACTTCCACAGTGAGTATAACAAGCATGCTTTACTGCATATACAGACTGATTTTATTGTTGTGGGTTTAATAACACTTTAAGTCTGTCTCCCTCTTACAATGTATATATTTATATAAATACAATAACTATATAAAGCTCTTTTAGCATTTTGTATCCTCCCTTATACACTTTTAAACTGTATGCTCTTCAGCCTTCTGTATCTCTCCCTTATACTTTAACAGATTAACAAATCTTCCACCTCCTGTATTCCTCCCACTAGTAGATTGTAAACTCTTCCATTTTCTGTACCTCTCCCTTATACTGTAACAGATTGTAAGCTTTTCTACCTCCTGTATCTTCCCTTTTACACTAACAGAGTGTATACTTTTCTATCATGCCAACTCAATTGCCTCCCTTCCACTCTTTATTTATTTATTAAAGGTATCCAATCTTTATCCATTGAAAGACCTTAAACTTCATCAGAACCAATAGTTCACAAATTTCTACAAGATAAAAGGTGTGTGACTGTAGGCTTATAGTAGTTTTATAGCATTGGTAATGTTTAATGTCAAGAATCATGACATTGCATAATATCACAACCAATGCTATAAAAGATCTAAAAGACAATATAATTGGTAATTGTAAATCTAATCCACTTGCCAAATTACCAATTCTGCTCTCCTTGAGTGAGGGCTAGCTGATGCTACTTGTGTCCTGCCTGCTAGGAGCGGCACTAAAGAGTCAACCAACTCCTGGCCCCACACCCCCCACCAGGGTCATTTCTGTCGTACTATCCATCTAGTCAGCAAAATACAAATACTTTATTCCGGGTGAGAGATGTAAAGAAGAACCATAGAGGATGAGCTCTCCTGGATTAGGATGGGGCAGTAGGCACATGTCAATGTGTGTTGCATCTACTGTGTAGCAGTTCCCAGACCCCACCCAATCCTCCTGTATACTGTGGTTGCTGCCTTGCCTGTCATCACTGGCCTGGGTCCCCAGGCTCCACCAATAACTCTGAGGCCACAGCAATGAGCTAGATTGTAAGCTCCAAGGAGCAGGGCCCTCGAACCCCTCGTGTATTGTATTGTATTGTTACTGTACTGTCTCGTGTACTGTCTCCCATTATAATGTACAGCGCTGAGCAAAACATTGGCGCTATATAAATACTATATAAAAAAAACTATGAGCAGACCCCTCCTCTATGGTGGGGTCTAGTAATTGACACCAATGAGAATAGGTGTGGTATTTATACATATGAAAATTCAGCACAAAACTTTCCAGCAGGAGCAAATTAGATCATGCTTTGCTGGTTTTTTTTGCCTCCTCTGGATCTACTGTGGGTATAGGATTATAACTTTTTTTTTCTATGGTTGAACTGGATGGACTTTTGTCTTTTTTCGGCCAGACTAACTAATGTAACTATGCACGATCCATTGCTGAAACTGTGTATGCGCAGTACACAACCAAGAAAAATTGATTACTTTACATATGGCTTACTCCTGTCTACTGACTTTATGAACAAGAGACTGTTATTCACAATCTGTTTTTTTTTTAAAAAAAAGAGTACCAGCTGGGAACCCTGGTGAAAGGGCTAGCCTTGCATTTTTCAAATGCTTCAACAACAGGTATCATAACTAGATTTCTGATACATTATTGTATTAGTCATGTTATCATGTTATTAGAGTTTAAGTGATACTCTACTACTTCTGAACTGAAAAAGTTAAAAAGACTGCTATATGTAAGCTGAAATATAATTTTTGGAGGATGTGGTCCTTTAATAAAATTGAAATTTTACTGGCCACACAGAAGCAGAAAGCTTATACTGCTGTATGTTGGAGAATTTTATCCTTACAATGTTGCTTTGACTCATCAAGCTCAGATATGACAGCAGGGTGACAGAGAATAGGAGGATTATACTCACAAAACCAACAAATGTCTGGCACACTTTCAAGATGCTAATTAATTTGGATATTTCATAGCGATCATTTCCATACAAAACTGGCATAATCCAGATGATTTCACAAGGCGTTTAGTCTGGAACTGCAGTGAGCTTCATTGCATGTGATGGCTAGTGTCTGCTCTACTCTAAGCCTGCCACAAGACATTAGACAGCAGTTTTGAACCACCTACCAGGGTTATCTTTTTCTGCCTTAAAGGCTAAGTTCACCTTTTAAAAAAATAAGAAATGCACATATTTTTGCAGGTAAAAAAATGTGCATTTTTTTTTCTGGAGTCTGCAGGGCATTAGACCCGCAATCAGCTGATCACAGGTGCAATTTCAGGCTCCTGTAGGATCTCAGTGTAGATAATTTCCCATACCTCCTGTATGGGTATTCAGCTAATGGAGAGCAGGACGATCAATGAACTACCAGAGTGCTGATCAGTGCCCTCGCAGTGCATTGAGAACTACAAACCATCTGCATTGCAGTAGTTGTACTCCATTCATTCACTGTGAATGAATGATGCTGCTGTGTGGGTGGAGCCCCACTCGGCTGCACTCTTTTTAAATAGTGACAGCAGGCGTGGGGAGAGGATCTCCCCGCTACTAAGTAGCTGACGCTACATATAATTCATACAGTGCCCTCAGGGAACGCATCTGTTAGTGCAATAGTTTGTATAGGCCAGCTTACCCAAACTATTTAAAGGGACATTTAAGGTGGTGATCAGCTTTACGTTGGTGATATATGGTTTGGATTTCAGCCAAATCCTGCTGATCCAGTTTAGCGTAGATGGAGGAATCGACTGATTCAAAATGAAATTAATTGAAATCTGCATACTAATGTACATTTCAGACCTGGTGCCACACTTTTTCTGGAGGAACAGCAGATCAGAGATCAATTCTAAAGCTGGCCAAACTCTGGTAAATTTACATACAAAACATTTGTATGAAAGATCTGGTCAGTATAGTTGATAACAGAGACTTGATGAATGTTGTTTGAAAGTAGTTCAAAATTTAATTTGCTTTTAGCATTCAATAGCATAAATGTAATTTCCTGAACCAAAACCTCATACACTGTTAGAAATTTAGGAGATCTTAAAGCGGTAGTAAAGTCCCCTTTGTGATTTTTACCTACAGGTAATCTTATAATAAAGCTTACCTGTAGGTAAAATTCAGTACTCTCTGAATACTCAGTAGCTCTGATGAAGAAGGGACGCCCTTCGAAACGCGTCAGCTGTACTCTGAGTGTCTACCCCTATGATGGGACTCACGCAGGCTTCATAATTCTCAAGTTCCTTTGAGGGCTTACATGTGTGATTTACTTCGCTGTTTGTGAGTATCATTCTGTATTCAATACAATTTTGGTTTACTGAGGTAATGCGCAAGGTTGGTGCGCTTTTTGTTTTGTTTCGCTTTGCAGTAATCATCATGGTTCGGCCAGTCAGATGGCAGGAGCTCGCAAATGGTCTGGAAGGAAGGAAGATCAGAGGAAGATGAAAGCCCTGTCAACGGTGACAGCGCACTGCTGGAGGGCTTTGTTCTAAGGTAAGTATTCATAATGTGCTAGTAACATTGTCTTGCTAGGGATTTTTTTTAAATCTAAGTTTACTATAACTTTAACCTGCACTCATATCTAATTTACATCTTTAGACTTGAACATTGCAATGAGTACCTGCAAAACCCACACAGATATTCCACAGCCTGATTAAAAATAAAAATACGCAAAAAGTCCTGGCTGGCCAGTACCCCTTCACAACCACACAAATATAGCTGTGCAGTCACACCAAATTTTCAGGATCTGGATGTGGACTCATTAAAATGTTACATCCCTATTGGTAGAGGAAGCATTTGCCATGCTAACCACATGTCTACTGCCATGGTCTAGAATTGAATTGTGAAAGTCTTAAGAAGTAAGCAAAACTATTTTTTTTGCTTTCGATAAAGTATGGGGCGTTTATACCCCAGTCAGTTTTTTTGCCATCTGTGTCCCATTGGGGAGATTTCTCTTCACTTCCTGTCCCACAGCCACAACAGAAAATGAGAAGAAATCCCAAAGGAGTCTAAAGATGTTGCCAAGGCCACCAGAGCTAGTGTTCCCATTGGAACATTTCATCTCTATTATTGTTCTAGTGTCAACCCAGAATTTGCGATTTTCTTACATTCTTTTACTTTCTTTTTTGGTAAATCTCCCTAACGGGGGCACAGACAGCAATCAAAACAGACAGGTGTTCTAATTCCTCTCCACTCTATCCAAAACTAAAAAAACGGTTTACTATTAGTTATATTTTAATCCTTTTATTGTCAGACTAATTTTTCATACACATACTAAAATGAATATTATTGACTTGAAAATTTGCTAACGGCCTACATCTAGCCTCAACCTGAGGCACCTGTGAATCTGCTAAAAGCTTTGATAACCAGGATTATAAACAGTGTCCCAGCTGGACCACAGAATCCCCTTATTTTATGGAGATAAGTAGAGAGAGAGGCGTTCTGCAGTGAAGCAGGAGAGAAGAAAGATGGGGCTGGCAAAATTTTACATTTCAAGGCAGCAGAGGCCAAATTGTCAATCTAAAACAGGAAATTAGGATCTTACTGCACTTCTAGAAGGTCAACAGGGATTTTTTTTTGTACTTGCAGTGTTTTTTATTGGGATAATACATGGGGAAATGTGCATGTATTACAAAGATGTATGGAATATACCCAAAGAACTCCAGGCAAAATTTTTATTTTCCCATACAGTGGGGCTGTGCCCTCACTGCATGGGTCAACTTCTTGTGTTTGTTTAGGGGTGAGGAGAGCGGAGATATACTTACCTAATCCACTGATCCTCTAAATACAAGCCGGTCTCTGCTGCTCCTGCTGCCCCCCGTACACTAGTGGTCTTGTGAATGGACTGTTCCTGAAGTAATCACACCCATAGACTTGCTCTGGACATAAGGATGGCAGAAACAGTCCACCGCTGGATTTGAGGGAACACTGTTCTGGAGGATTGAAGGATTGGGTAAGTATAGCTTTTCCTTGTGCCCCTGAGCAAAGAAAGCAGTTAACCCATGCAGTGAAGGCAGAGCCCCACTGCATGGAAAAATAAAAATGTTGCCCGGTGATCTGCTTTAAGTTGAAATTCAGTTTGACTGAGCATATAAATCTTTTATATGTTGTAGTTGGTACAGGGGCGGACTGACCATTTGGAAACTCGGGCACTGCCCGAGGGCCCGGGGTCAGTAGGGGGCCCCGTGAGATGCCCCTGGTACCTTTTTCATAGGCTTTTTTGAGTTTGGGCAAGGACACAGGGGCCCCATGATCCCCTATTGCCCGGGGGCCCCATGAGTTGTCAGTGCGCCCCCTGAGTTGGTATAGGAGTAAACAGAATAATACCACTTCAACATGACCTGTTAGCTGGTAAATCGTTCAATATGTGAAATAAAGTGCCCCTATTTTATTACAATTTTAGGCATGTATAGGCATTTATGTTTTTGAGCAAGGAGTAAATTACAGAGGGTTCATAAAAAGTTAACCCTCCAAAAAATTTTGATACACTCTTCTCGTTTTCCTTTATAGGGTAGTGTAGCTTTTGTGAACAGATAACTTCAGCTATTATTGTGGTGTTTACCTTAATGTAATTTTTTGTGATTTTCAGTATCCTGGACTTCCATATCTTTTTTTTTTTATGAATCATAGCAGTTTGTAGATTTGCCATTACAGTAATCAACAACTTGTCATTTGCCTTTGGCAGCCCATAGATTCATCTTTTCTTTTTTTTTTTGTTCAACTAGCGGGTTGAGTGAAAAAAAATGATCCAATTCCCCCATCCACACATTCAATGTGGATGAGGGAATCCTCTCCACTGTTCTATTGTGTTCTGGCAGTGAGGAACCTTCCCTGCCATCAGAATACAATGATTGGTGCTGCTGGATATAGCCGGCAGCACAGATCGATTGGGGAAAACCATAGAGGTTGGTTGTACAGAAGCTGATCGAAAGACTGGCTTCTGTACAACCAGGGTGCCCGTACATGGATCGAAATTCAGATGGTCAATTTCAATCCATGTATTGCTCGATTTACTCTGCCTTTCTTCTTCACATCTGCTTCAGAAACACATATCAGCCAAATAAATTATTTGACTCAGGTTTGCAATGTGTGAAAAAAATGAGCAACAAAGCACAACTGTTGTGCAGAAAGCAGGGTCTCTGTACTATATCTGAGGAACAAATCTAGCTGCATACATATAGAATTATAGCTATACATAGACAAAAGTTTTCTATATAAATATTCACACGTATTAATAACATTATTTACATCAGGTTGATGTGTTTTATAGGTATCTACATTATCATTGAGAATTTATAACGTCACAGGTTATGGAAAAGTATACATCCCCTTCAAGAGAAGACATGCCACCAGAGTCAAGAAAAGTAATGTAAAATCTTAAAGAGTTATTCCTTAAACATCATGTTCAAATGAGAACCATTGAAATTATGGTTTTCTTTTTGTGATAACAAGTGTCCAGGTTTTCACAGTTATTGCTGGTTTTGCTGATTATCATTTGGCTAAATGTAAAATGATATTACACATCTGATATTCTATACAAGTTGGTGCTGTCCATCCATTTTCCGTACGTAGTACATACGTAAAGTGATACAGTCACTTTGCACATCAGAGACAATGTGTTTTCTAAAGCTCCTCCCCCCACTCCAGTTTTTAGCAGTGACCCAGCACTTTTCCTATCTCCACTGCAGCTAGATGGTAAATCTGGTGCTTCCAAGTATGGATCATGTGACCTCCCTGAAGGAGTCTGGCAGGCAACCCTTAGGTTCAAGCCCATGATGGAGGGGTGATGTCTCCGCTCCTCCAAGCATCTGACACATGTGACACATTCAATTGCAGTGTATGCTGAAGCAGAGGAAGGAGCAGCATGGACACTGGTATAGTAAGTAGGGTGGGGGACCCTTTAGAAAAACACTGTCAATGATAGTGTATCTTTAAAATACAAATGTGCTTTTAATATAGTTATCCTTTAACCGACCCACACCCAGTACAATCCAAAGTCTTATACTAACCTATCCCCACACTTGCCTGATCTTCACTGTTTGGTCTACTGGGGAGATGCATAGCAGTACAGTAAAATCTCCATTCATTCCTATAGAGAGGCTGTTCAATGTTGGAACACATAATAGATGTCCACTCCATAGGCATGATTAGAGATTGTAAAGGAGCCTGCACAGCTAGTAGACTTTGCAACAGCTGTACAGATCTCAAGGGCCTATGCAGTTAAGATCTGGTGGGAGCAAAATTAGGTAACTGTCAAGCCTGGTACATACAGTACATACTGAAAGTTGGACCGGCTTCTGTCAAATAGTCTTGCTAAAAAACTAGCAATGGATCAGTACTTGTAGCCAATAGTTGCAGGCACTGATCATTGTATTCTGGAAGGGAAGAGTTCCCCTGTCAAAATACAAGAGCACAGTGGGAGAGATTGCCGGCATCACACATCGCTGTGGTGAAGCAGGGATCTGTCATTTATTTTCTTTCCAACTGCTGTTTGAACAGAAAAAAAAAATGTACGGTTATACATATCATTAGACTTTGGAAGGCTACTCTGGAGGGTTAGTTAAAAGATAAAGCTACTAAAAGTACAGTCCTATCGCAAGTTAATTTGCATACAAACATTTATTGTGCAGAAAAAAAGTGTATAAAGGCTGACAATTACCTATAGATGGGGGAGGCGAACGCCGATTTCCAATGTCTCCCAAACCAGAGGTGTTACCAGACCTCCTGAATATAAAAAAAAAGCCATTACTTGGGAATATATGAACCACCTAACAGCATCATAGCTAAGCTCTTCTAGGCCTAGGGTGACACTGCATTTCATTATTAATAGCATGTACCGTGCACACAAGAGCCTTACAAAATAGTCTCGTAATTATGGTCTTGAAAACCTCTTCTAACTAACATGCACACAAGCAAGTTGATGTATCTGTTGGCACAACTGGGGTAAAAAGACAAGCATTCAGGATCAGAGATAGACCTCCCAAGGGATTTGGTTCTGTTAGTAGTAATTTCCTATACTGTCTCCTAATCAAACCACAAGGCTGTCCCTGTATAGATGCTTTATCTCACCTTGCTTTCTGCTCTTGTTTCAGTCGAATGGCCTCAAGCCTCTGAGGGCTCGGAATAAAGGCGATGTCTCCCCCTTCTTTCACTAGCCTCCCGATCCACCAGTCATTGTTGTATTTCTGTCAAAGCAGGTAACAATTTATGTATGGAAGAAATGCAGTAAGTAATACTGGTAAATATGAAACATTTAAATGTTGGCTAGAGAGAAAAAAAATATTTTTTTTAACATATTCCCTTTATGAATAACACCCTTAAAGGGGAATTGTGAGTAACATATAGCCCTTTTCTACATTTAAGCTTTGGGGGTTTTTTTTTCGTTTTTTTTTTACTTTCAGCTTTAACAAAAGTAATGAGTACAGTCAAGGGAATAACTGACTTAAATCATAATGCCCTCCTTCACTGGCAGTTCTGAACTGGCAATTTGTAAGTACACCCACTGGCACTCTCAGCAGGATTCTCCTACTGTTGGAACATGTTATTTACCCTAACCCTTTAAGGGAGCAAGCACTGCCCAAATAAACATTATGGAATTGCAAAGCTGTATGCATTATTTTCAAATAAAATTGCTTTCCTGTATATACTGTATTCACGATATTCAATATCATGCTATATTGTAGCCTAAATAGTGTGTGTTTGTGCTTTCAGCTTGATGATATACATGCACAATGAATATGCAAATATGCTCTGCATGCTGGTTGCATTTACTGTTAGTTATTAATATACTTTTAGGAGAATACAATTTTTTTTTCTACAATTCAATTCTTTATTTTAACTTTTCAAGAGTACATACAGGTGGTACATCCTCAATAGGCAAGTACAAACCAAGCTAGACAACATCTCCAAAGCCACTGTTAGTCAAGAAATGATAACATACTTCCAACTTTTCCATAGGCAACTTAGAGAGTCAGGGCTAATAATTATTTATATTTAAGAATATTTTATATACCTGATATATATATATATATATATATATATATATATATATATATATATATTTCTATTCTTTTTTTCATAAGTGGTTTAAAAAAATATAGAACAAAAACTAAAAAGCATAAAAACATGAATGCATTCTTAGTAGACATTATATTTATATCTGATACAACAACAAGCTCTTCGAACCAAGTTCACAAGTAGGCTATCCAAACACTGCTTTGTGTTGACTGCATGGTTAAAACACGGGTTAATTTCCGAAAACTGAAGAGTAAAAAATCTGGTGCAGCTATGCAACTTCAACTTGTTTAACCACTTCAAGTATGGACACTTTTACCGCCTTCAAGTGCAGGCCAATTTTCAACTTTCAGCACTATCACACTTTGAGTGACAATTACTCAGTCATGCAACACTGTACCTGCGACGGTACGCGGCGTCAGACCCCAGCCCTTCTCACAAACTTGTGACCGAAGGACCAGCCGATCCCAGACCGCTCTGACACTTGTGTAAAAATGCCACTCTCAGCTGCACCCTGCACAAATATTTTCCAGCTCGCGGGACCACAATCTATATGCCAGCTGCCTGAGAGCGATTAATTACGCAATTAACCCTTCACACTGCCACCACCACCTTTTTACAGAGACGGAGGAAACTCACAACTCTTAGCAGTAACACTATGATATTAATATAAGCGTCTGTAATACACACTGCCACCACAAACAGATGTATTTCAGAGGATTATCACATACAGTAGCACACTTCAGAGACAGGGATTCTTTTAGTTTCCACTAGAAGCTTTAGAGACAGTTTCAACACTTTTCAGAAAATAGGATTTATTACTAAAAAAGGTCAAATTGGTGCAATTCAAATATTTACAGAAAAAGATGTAACAAATATATATATATATATATATATATATATATATATATATATATAAATAGAGAGAGAGCAATAAAACAACAGAGAAATAAAAGAAAGAAGTTTCAGAAGGTAGGATACTTGCAAAAAGTCTTTGGTTTAAGCAGAGTCCAAAGGTCCGAACACAAAGGTTGCCTTTCTCCCAAATATGTTCCTGATGTTAAAAGGGAGGTATCTCTTTTCTCTCCAGGCATGTCAGACTTTTTTCTAGTATACCAGCAGGGGGTGTCTCCCAAGGGCTAATCACCTCATTTGGGGAGGGGTGTTAGGCAGGCACCCAAGCTATGACCAAATCCCTCCCAAGTTTATACCATGGTCAATAACCTTCAATAGGTACAGGTAGCATCCTAGCCACTGGCAGATTAATATGCAGAATCATATTCTGAATGTCCAGACACCAAATATGGCATATCCTGCCATTCCGGATAAAAATATATTGCTTTCTACTCTCTTGTAGACGCTACCTAGGGGTGTAAGGTGTCAGGTGACTCGTATTAAAAAGACCTATCTGAATATATGCTTTATATCAATGTGCTCAGTTCCTGTGGAAGTTTATGAATTTGTATGAGAAATGACTCATGTGGAATGAACATTTTATGGCCACTCTGAGGTAATGCTTACATGTCAAGTGACCGACTGAGGTATAGTTTTATGACCGGGCAGATGAAAGTGTTTGTCAGACCTCAGGGGCAGACTGACCATTTGGAAACTCGTGCACTGCCCGAGGGCCCGGGGTCAATTGGGGGCCCCATGAGATGCCCCTGGTACCTTTTTCATAGGCTTTTTTGAGTTTGGGCAAGGACACAGGGGCCCCATGATCCCCTATTGCCATGAGTTGTCAGTCTGCCCCTGTCAGACCCTCTGGCACCAGGCTTAATTGGGGTTACAACCATGAAGCTTATCCAGCTGTGCCTTATGCACTTGGGACCCCAGTACACACACACAGGCCACATTCCATTCAAAAGGGAGGGGACACTGGACAGAGTGAGAATGACATCTGCAGAGCAGGACACAAGATGGGAGACCTTAACAAAATGGTTGTCAGGTCCATGTGTCCATGCGCACAACTGCCACAGTACCCATATGAATTTTTTTAATCAGATTTTTTGAGGCAGATTGAGCTTTCTTTTGGTGGTATTTGATCACAACTGGGTTTTTTTGTTTTTTTGCTATATAAAAGAAAAATACCGAAAATTTTGAAAAAACTTATTTTTTGCTTAGTTTTTGTTATAAAATTTGATAGTTTTTCTTCATAAATTTAGACCAAAATGCATTCTGCTACATTTTTTGGTAAGAATAACCCAAAACAGTTTATAATATTTAGTTTGTTTGAAAGCTATATTGTCTACAAACTATGGGATATATATTTGAAAATTTATCAGCTGAGATCCTGAAATGTTGGATGCTGGTATGGCATATGGCAGTGATCAGGATGCTGGTATGCGGTATGGTGGTGATCAGGACATTAGCATGAGGTATGGCGGTGATCAGGATGCTGGTATGGCAGTAGCCAGGATTCTGTTATGGGGTATGGCTGTGATCAGGATGCTGGTATAGGATATGGCAGTGATCAAAACGCTGGTGTGGGGTATGACAGTGATCAGAACGCTGGTATGGGGTATGATGGTAATCAGGGTGATGGTATGGCGGTGATCAGGACACTGGTATGGGGTACAGAGGTGATCATGATGCTGGTATGGGGTATGGCGGTGATCAGGATGCTGGTATGGCATATGGGGTGATCAGGATGCTGGTATGGGGCATGACGGTGATCAGAATGCTGGTATGGGGTATGGCGGTGATCAGGGCACTGGTATGGTGTATGGCGGAGATCAGGGCACTGGTATGGTGTGTGGTCATGATCAGGGTGCTGGTATGGCATTTGGCAGTGATCAGGGTGTTGGTTTGGGGTATGGCGGTGAACAGGACACTGGTATGGCGGTGATCAGGACATTGGTATGGTGTATGGGGGTGTTTTGTTCGCACTGGGACAGGTGACAGGGCCTCCCTGCATTATTTATTATTGTTATTATAGGGCAGTGATCAGGGACACTGGGGTGGCTGGCACAGCAGTCTGTGAGTGTACATGCAGCCTGACAGGCTGCTGTGTACTCACACACTGCAGGATCGCTTCTCTCCGCTCTCACACTGAGAGCGGAGAGAAACAATCTTTACTTTTACAGTTTACAGTGTTTACTATGTGAATACTGTGATTGGTCACAGCAGGCACATGGTAAAAACACCATGTGATCGCCCGAAGACAGTGGTAATGTGATCCGCTGTGTCCAGGCGACACACTGATCACTAGGCTCCTGGGTGAGCGCTTGGTGAGCCACGCAAGAGCCATCGATGCGGGCTGACATACAGGAATGTTAATCTGCATCGGCGCTGCTACCATCTGCCGTCTATGTGCAATGGGCGGACGGGAAGTGGTTAAATAAGCTTTGACAAAAAAAAATGGAAGCCGATTGGTTTCTATACAGAGTTGCACCAGATTTTGCACTTTGCAGTTTTAGTAAATCAACCCCAGTGTGTACACGTTCTCACCTCTTTGATATGTAGAAAATCTTTGGCTTCAAAGTTGATAGCAGTTCCTTGGACTGGGCATTCTTCATCCAATGCACCACAGTAACTGACATTGGTTCTAACAGCAAATGCAACTGGCTTGAGCTGAAGGAAAAGACAAGTAGCCTTATGTATCAACGTGCTAGTAGTGAGAACTGTTCCTGCATCACAGACACCAATTAGTTTGACAATTTCAGATTTCAAGATGACTGGGAAAGTAATGGTAGGGGGGCGAGAGAGAGAGATTTTTTTAATGTGCTGGAAAACCTACAGTATGTGTGTGATAATAAGCACTTCCAATGCTCGCATTGGTTCATAATCATTTATCGCCTAATTAAACACATTCTGCTTGTTGGTAACATACAGGCTGGATTGTTCTGAACCAAGTCAGATTTTAAGACACACAACAAGAGCCCCCTCTTTTGGAATATACAGTGAAGGAAATAAGTATTTGATCCCCTGATGATTTTGAATGTTTGCTCACTCACAAAGAAATGATCAGTCTAAAAATCGAATGGTATGTGTATTGTAACACTGAGAGACAGAATAGCAACAAAAAATTCTAAAGAAATGCATGTCTAACAAATGATACGCTGATTTGCATGTTCATGAGGGAAATAAGTATTTGATCCCCTATCATTCAGCAGGATTTCTGGCTACCAGGTGTCTTTCATACAGGTAACAAGCTGAGATTAGAAGCAGTCTCTGAAAGGGAGTGCTGCTAATTTTATTTTGTTACCTGTATAAAAGACACCTGTCCACAGGAGCAATCAAACAATCAGATTCCAAACTCTCCACCATGGCAAAGACCAAACAGCTGTCCAGGGATGTCAGGGACAAGACTGTAGACCTACACAAGGCTGGACTGGGCTACCAAACTATTGCCAAGCAGCTTGGACAGAAGGTGACAACAGTTGGTGCAATCATTCGCAAATGGAAGAAACACAAAAACAACTGTCAATGATCATGAGAACAATGAGGAATCATCCCAGTACTACACGTGAGAATCTTATCAATGATCTCCAGGCAGCTGGGACCACAGTCACCAAGAAAACACACGTGAGAATCTTATCAATGATCTCCAGGCAGCTGGGACCACAGTCACCAAGAAAACAATTGGTAACACACTACGCGGACAGGGATTGAAACCTTGCAGTGCCCGCAAGGTCCCTCTGCTCAAGAAAGCACATGTCCAGGCACATCTGTAGTTTTCCACTGAACATCTGAATGATGCAGAGGGGGACTCGTTGAAAGTGTTGTGGTCAGATGAGACCAAAATCAAGCTCTTTGGCATCAACTCAACACACCGTGTTTGAAGGAGGAGGAATGCTGCCTATGACCCCAAGAACACCATCCCAACTGACAAACATGGTGGTGGAAACATTCTGCTTTCGGGGTGTTTTTTCTGCTAAGGGGACAAGACAACTGCACCGCATCAAAGGGACGATGGACAGGGCAATGTACCGTCAAATCTTTGGTGAGAACCTTCTTCCCTCAGCCAGACCATTGAAAATGGGTCATGGATGGGTGTTCCAGCATGACAATGACCCAAAAACACACGGCCAAGGCAACAAAGGAGTGGCTCAAGAAGAAGCACATTAAAGGTCCTGGAGTGGCCTAGCCAGTCTCCAGACCTTAATCCGAATGCAAATCTGTGGAGGGAGCTGAAAGTTTGAGTTGCCAAACATCAGCCACCAAACCTTAATGACTTGGAGAGGATCTGCCAAGTGGAGTGGGCCAAAATCCCTCCTGAGATGTGTGCAAACCTGGTGGCCAACTACAGGAAACGTCTGACCTCTGCGATTGCCAACAAGGGTTTTGCCACCAAGTACTAAGTCATGTTTTGTGAAGGGGATCAAATATTTATTTCCCTCATGAACATGCAAATCAGTGCATAATATGTTAGTCATGCATTTATTTTGAATTTTTTGTTGCTATTCTGTCTCTCAGCGTTACAATACACCTACCATTTGATTTGTAGACTGATCATTTCTTTGTGAGTGGGCAAACATTCAAAATCAGCAGGGGATCAAATACTTATTTCCTTCACTGTATGTGTCAACTACTATGTTGTCATTATGATTGTGATTTATCTACATTGGGTCTGCATGGTTCCCCATTGGGAAGTTGGTTCCTCCATTTGGAGATTATGTTTACAAGACCATTAGCTGTTTTTGACTGCATTAGAATTCCACACCTGAGAGACAGTGGCTTCACATTGACTTGCTTTCCCACTCTGCTGCCCATTTAAAGTGTCCAGAGGATCTTTTTAAAGAGCACTGTGTGCTATGATGGTAATTGTGCCGTTACACTTACTGTGTGAAAATATAATACAATGCATGGTTAATATGCATATTACTGTGAATTGAGAAGTTACATAGTTAATTCCTTAAGCCATTGTTAATTAGCCTCAGTATAGTTATTTGAGATACTCCCATCTTGTGGATATTTTGGTTGTTGAATCATCCTGTGTTCCTCTCACTTGTGATGTATTTCTGTTCCTTTTCTCTCAGCCTTTATTGGGATGAATATGGATGCTTGTCTTTAGGCCACATGTAATCTGCTCACATCCAGGAACACATTACCATGTTTTAACCTGCAAATACCATCTTTTCAATCATCTGCTACATCTTGTTGTCATCTGTACCTTCTTCATTGCAGTAAAAGAACCATGGGTGAGAAAAAGGTGTTTGGTGAGTTCAGCTACCTGATAACTACTGTCCGTGGTGATTGTATCAGCTTACACAGGCCAGGCATAGATGTCTCAGCAAGCGTTATGTCTCTAATACAACAGTTGGAGTCAGAATAGTAATGGCTACATATCATAATTGCTGTTTTAACTGTATGTTCCAAATATTATTTGTGTAACTTTTACTTTGGAACTGAAAAATTTTAACATACACACTGTGCATGAAGGGCTTAGTTTTTGTTTCCTGCTACCCTTACCCATATGGAAGAAAAATATATTTCAAATATATTTCAAAAATATTCTTCCGAAATATATTGACATATATTTGAAATGCTACGATTTTGGCCATATTCAATATATTTCATATATATATATATAAATATATATATATATTGAAAATATATACATACATATACATATATATATACACACACACACACACACTGCATGTTGAAATGCGTTTTTATTACAAAATATATGAAAAATATTTTTAAAAATACATTTCAAATATACTGTATGTCTTTAAAAATACAAATCTACATTTTTTTAATGCATTTACAAATATATGTAAAATATATTACATATATTTTATATGTTAAAAAAATCTGAACAATATATTTTAAAAAGAGTATATTTGAAAATATATTTTTAAAAATATTTTTCATATATTTTGTAATAAAAACGCATTTCAATATACAGTGTATATCTATCTATCTATCTATCTATCTATCTATCTATCTATCTTTATTGAAATATATTGAATTTGGCCAAAATTGTAGCATTTCAAATATATGTCAATATATTTGGGAAGAATATTTTTAAAATATATTTCAATATATATTTTTCTTCCATGTGGGTAATGCTTCTGCAGTTTCATGAGACATAAAGCGATGTGAAAGTGCTGCATCCCAATTATCTTTTTTTCATGTTGCTCAGGTAGATATCCACCTCTCAAAGGTTGTCCATTCCGCTCCAAGGTACCCATATGTCAAGATGTGAACAAAATCCAAGATGTGGATTTCTCCAAAATCTTTTGAATTACCCTATTAATATGTAAATAAAGGTCTGAAACAACTCTTTAGGCTCTAGGAATGTCTTGGCACACAGTGGGAGTATACTGGTGCATAGTGGGGGGGGCCCCAGTTCAACTTTTGCATTGGTTCCCACAAGCTTCAAACTACACCTCTGATTACAGGGCCCCCACTCTGGATGAAGTAGCATAGGGGGCACCTTTGGACAGCTGCATTGTTAATCTAGGGTACAAGCAGATTTAAATACACTTATATGTTGAAGCCAAACTCCAGCTCGCATTTTATAACCAGCTATAGCAAACAATTTTTTTCCTATTAGGATAAAAATGTTATATGAATAAATAAAAGCTGATCATTGTAAGCACCCCTGCCAGGGTTAGATGGTTTGTCTCAGCCCTGTAAACTGATAAATCTGGAAGAAAGCTTGTTCTTTTGAAAAAACAAACAGCCTTATTGGCCAGATCACTAGGTGAAAATAAAAGACAGAAAGAAAGCCTAAAAAAAATGACTAATGCAGCCACCATATCTAAGAATTGTCAAGCTACAATATAATAAATGTTTTGGGTTTAATACGACTTTAAAGCAGAAATGTGGGAAGATTTTTTTTTTTTGCCCGTGCAGTGGGGCTGTGCCGGAACTGCACGGGTTAAATGCTCATTTTGTTCTAGGGAAGAGGACACCGAAGCTATACTCAACTGACCCACCAATCCTCTCTCCCAAGACCAGTCCTGTCGGCTCCTGCCCCCCTTTGGTCCATTGGTCTTGTAAATTGACTGTTCCTGACGTCAGTGCGCTCAATGCACGCTCCACAGACAGGAACGTTCCACCGCTGGATTGTGGGGGAGCACGGATTTCTGTAGGATTGGCGGGTCAGGTGATTATGAGGTTAGTCCTCATCCCTAGAAAAAAAACGAACAGCTGATCCATGCAGTGGGGGCACAGCCCCACTGCATGATAAAAAAAATAATTTGAGTTCTGCTTTAAGGCCTGGCCTCTTGAATAACATGCCCAACATATTAGGGGCTGTCCGTTACAGCAAGAAGTAAGCACAAGCAGGTTATTTAGACCAGAATATAACACGGGTAATAATCTTACACATATAGCTTCCTTATAAAGCTACAAAGCAACTGTAGACTTTGCTATTAGCATGCCATTTTATAGGCAAGGTCAACTGCAACCTTTTTGTTCCCACATCAGTTCACTACAAATGTAGCATCAGTGCACACAGCTAAATCATTTGTTTTATTTAGTGAATTAATGTAGCAAAATGTCAACAGAGCTAATTCAGCACAGCTTGATGATCTGCATGGATGCTGGATTATAAAGCCAATTACAACAGTTTGAATGGAAAATATCCTAACTATTGTCTAGACGTTGACTTCTTACTTTCCTCAAGGAAGGTCATATGGATACCTTGAGGTACAGATTACATACTGGAACACTCTAAAATGATAAATCGCAAGACTGTCTATGTCAGTAGGTGTTCTCGTCAAATACTGTGTTTTTCATTGAAAAGCATGCATCCGTGTTTTGAATGGAAAATGTAGCATGTCACTTGTTTTTCATGGCTGTTCAAAAGCACTTTAATAAAACACACTGGGTCCAAAGAAACACAGCTCAATGCAAAGCAGGTCAAAGTCAGCCTTTGAATTGCTATATGTACTGCTTGTTTAAGTCAATGGAATTTTTCTGACCAGCACTTGAGTTGCGTTCCAAACGCAAATGCAGGAAAGCATTGCCCATTCTAATAATGTTCTTACAGAGCTCTTTAGATGAAAATATAAAGTAGCTTTGCAGTTTGGAAAAGAACTACAAAGGTCTCAGATTGTACTAATGCAATGTTTTTATATGTGTCCATGTGATATGAAATCCAAGATTATCTTGATCATTACACAATCTTGGGCTATTCCCAGTGGTAATATTGGTCTATATACTAATGTCATGTAGATCAAATTGCCAATGGCAGTGCTTAACAATTTATAGGCTAAATATAATCTTTTATTAATAATATCATGTGACAACTACAGTGCATTTGTTGAAACATCTTGCTGATTCAGCCACAGATACTTTTCAGTGGTTTCCTCCTAACTACTATAGTGTAACTGTGAAATTCTCTAAAAATCACAGCAACCAGCTGTACCATCTGAATGGTGTCCCAGGACTAATTTTGGAGTGGTCAGCTTAGGCCCGGCTCACACTAGTGCAGGCATTTGAATGGGTTGAATGGGCTAATGTGAACCTAGGGTGAAGTGGACTAATAGCTAGAGCATACTTGTCAGGAATGGACTCAGCACTGGTGGTGGGACTCACCTGCCGTGTGGGCTGCAGTACCAGGGCTGACCAGCGGGTGCTCTCAGCAGCCAGAAGCTCACTCCTGCAATCAGCCAACACCTGGGGCTGATTGCAGGAGGTGTATTTAAGGAATGGCCAGACCTGCAGTCAGTGCCTTGGTGTATGTTTCCCATGAGCCCCTGTACCTGGTATCCTGTGTTCCTGCCTATCTGCCTAGTTGCTGACCCTGCTTTGATCCTGACCTCTGCTGACCGTCTCCTGTTGAATCCCTGGCTTGCCTGACCATCCTTCTGCCTGATCCTCTGTACCGCGCTGCCCGTGAGTTACTGAACCCGGCTTGTGACCCTGACTATTCTCTGCCTGCTCCTCTGGTACCTCACTGCCTGCACGTTGCTGGCCTGTCCTGCCTGACTATGCCTGACGCTATCCAGACGATCCATCCATCCCACACGGATCCAGTCACTACAGTCCAAACCTGCCAGCCCCTTCACATCAGGCTTTCCCACGGTACATACCCTCGGCGGACCCCTCTACCACAGTTGGGTGCACTCAGGGGCCGCAACCTGGTCTCAATCCTGCGCCAAGTCCATCCCCACCATCAGGGGCTCTGGTGAAAAGGTAGACTGGGGCTTAGACTCCGCGCCCTGGGGAATCCTGTTCTGTGGGTCACTAGAGATCCCGCCGGGCGGTGCCTGACAGTACCTTACGGCCCGCCTGACCATTCCACCTCTCCAGCCCTGACTACGCCTGTGTTCCTGAAGCCTGCTACTTCCCTGTGTCAGTCCACACATTTCTGGTCACACCCGGATCCCTGACAATACTTAAATAATAAACTTCACCAAGCTCACCAAAATCCAATAATAATTAAGAGCAAAATATAGGAACAAACATGCAACAGGCCAGAACTCCTGATCTGCATACTTGCCCAGTAATTCCTAGTCTTCGGATTAGCATGACAGTCAGCTGACTACAAGGAGAGGTCAGTAATGGTGGCGTATATACAGAACTTACCTGAGTACAAATCACATGAAAAGATTTTTGGATGGAATGACCAGTTAGCAGTGAAAGTAGGAATTTATAGTGTAGCACTACCCCCTTAAGGATTGCTGATGAATTTGGGTCTCCCTATAGTCCTGCATAGACAGTCATTCAGCATTTCCCACACAAGCTTCCATCTGGAGACAGAAATCAAGCCTTGAGCATTTTGTTTTGTTATTGTATTTAGGGGAATAAACTTGGATGGGGTAAGGAATGTATAGGATGCCCAAGGGAACCAAAATCTTAGGACAACGCCCTAAACTATTCACAGCTTCTCATCTTTGTCACAGTCTCTGTTGGAGTGCTAACCAGCAGCTCCAGTTATACTACCCCAGACCATAGATAAACTCCTCTTCACCCAGTAATCTAGAGACTTCTTTCCTGAGCAGGAATCTGGTTCTTGCTCCTTTAAATGGGTAACAGTCACTAGTAGGAGGCTAATCTGGTTTCCCACAAGAGTGCTTCTTTCCTATATGCCCAGGGGCTGCTCCTTTTCTGCCATACAGGTTTTCCTCCTTTCCAGCTCCAGGCTCGCAGGGAGGCCCCATCCTACTAGGCCTCCTGGCAGCCTTCTTCCTCCAGCCTCACATCTTCCTGCTTCTCACTCCTCTCCCACCACCATACTCCTCCTACTGAGCAGGCTCTTCCACTTTTAAAGGAGTCTCAGTCCCTTGCCAAGCCTCCTGTTGGGGATTAGCTGAGGTCCTTCAAGAGTATGGCCAAACACTCCTCAGATCCACCCACTGCCTCCTAAGGCCCACCTCTGAAAACCTTGGAGCAGGGGGAAACCAGAGGGGCTGGCCTATAAAGTCTCTCAGTCCTGACCAGAATGTGACCCCTCTGGCTATCTCACCTGAGCTGCTAACCAGCTCCTCACTAACCATTAGGGTCTAGTTCCCCCTTGCTAAACTATGAGGGTGCTACAACAGTTTTTAGATAGACTATAAATATCTAAGTAGCCATTTCCTCTCAATCACCCAAGAATTTACCCAGGCCTGCTGTAGACAAGCCTAGTTTGATTGCCTAGTTGATTTACAGCTATTATAGCCAAATGCAGAACACAAAAGAACAAAGTGTAGGATCAACAATAATAAATAATTCGGTACAAGAGAAAAAAAAGCAGAATGGAAAAGCAGAGTCAGTTGCAGCTTACATTGGGGTGAGGACTATCCCTTCCCACATGCTTCATGGCCAGAGCAATCACCAAATACCGGTATTAGCAGATTAGAGAAAGAGGAGTAAAGCTGGCCAAACATGGCACGGACGTCATCTGGTTTCTGATAAACATTCTGAAATTCAACCAATGGTGGCCCTATCGGCATCTTGTATTCGGAAAAACTGTCAGAACACAGTACAGTCAAACCTTTTTTTGTTTTGGATAGAGTAGGGAAGGATTAAAACTCCTGTCAAATTTTTATTGCTAGGTGTAACCACACTAAGTACATTCACCCTCTCTGTTTTTTACTGGTGACTGTTAATATCAAGACAAAAAGTGATAGGAAATTAGAATTTTACAGTTTTAACTGGATTGAGAGGTTGTGGTGACAACTGTCTACAGGAGGATTTCCTCTCAGTTTGTCAAGATTTCCTCTTATTTCCTGTTGCATCTCTACAACAGAACAGAAAGACAGATCTCCACAATAGGATACAGAAGAAAAAATAAACTGATAGAGATTTTAACCCTTTCCTACTCCAAGAAAAAGAAAGTTTTGGCTGTACATATACTTTAAGCAAAATGTGTAACAGAGCAAAGAAAATGGGCTTAGCAAAACTGGGTACTGTATATTTAGATTTTAGTTACAGAAATTGACACTAAAAAACATTCCTAAATAGTATGCTGTTTAAAAAAGTAAATTCATACCCTGGCTCTCTCGAGCTGTTGCTGAGCCTGCCTCTCCACCTCGCGGCGGGCAGCCTCACGATCCTCCTCCAGTGACACGTCGGAGTCTAACGATGGACGACTTGTGTAGGAATCAGCAGAACCCTGGAAAAGAAGAAACCAGGTCACTTATGGTGCAGACTATTTCTCATGTTGTCATGAATTCTGACACTACATTCTTATATGTCAGACAAGCTGTGTATTACGTGTAGTATTTTATAAAGAGCTCTCATTTCCATACATACGTGTAGTACAGATCTGACTGTTGCCTGTTCTACCATTGTTTATTTTTCTTAGCATTTACCTGATTTGGTAATAAAAGGTTGTCTAGAGGTGCTTATTGTTGCCCTCTAGGAAAGTCATGAAGGGAACAACTGTTGCAACAGTTGCTTAAAGAGAAACTTCACTCTCTAAATCAACATTATATTTAAAGCAGAACTCTGGGCAAAAACCTCTTTACATGTCCTTGTTGATGATTTCCTGCCTTGAATATGTCATCCATTTCCTGGTTCACTCAGTAGTTGCTTTTAAATAGCCTTTTCATTTTCAAATCAAACCACCAATTCTCTTTGGTTTTCTGTTTGTAAGACCGATGGCTGCTATGCCTACTATCCCCCAGCCACTGGTCTTGGCACATCCCTTCTGTAGTGCTTTCTCCAGGAAGCAGTAATGTCATTCAGTCCAACATACAGTGGTAGGTGGACCAACACTCTCCAAGACACATTCAACATGTACAGGTGTACAATTCCCTGTGGTTGATGGGAACTGTAGTTTCCTTTTATTGCAGAGGAGAGGACATGATGTAATTCCTGCTGTTACACCTACTCCTTGGCAGAGCAGATGCTGTTATCTTTTCAATTACAAAGATGAGGTCATGAAAATTCAATTAGACTTTTCTCCTAAATGGTACGGATTTAAAAAATGTTATGTGATGATTTTATTTTTGCCAATCCTAGAGTTCTTCTTTAATTGTTATGCTGCTAGTGTCCTGCATTCATCTGAAGAAGGGGAGGAGGGGATTTCTCAGCTAAGCACTCCCTCCTGCCTGCATGCTTGAGCTATATGCAGATAGATTCAAGGAAGTAAACACAACATGAATAATCAGCCCTTACTCCACATGGCCGTGGCTATAAATGCTGGGAGGGGTTCAAAGTGTTTTCTCATTAAAAAAAGGAAGCATGGCAATACAGATGGATAGGTGAGTTTGCTTTGAATATTAAAAATGAATGAAATAGTGTAAGGTCATATATGGCTACCACTAGTGTTATTTCATGAAATTATACACAAAGATCTAAGGTTTGCCTTTAGACATGAGATATTTGTACAATCTGTTTTTTTTTACAGTTTCAGGTCCATGGACCCTGTGCATGACCTATCTAGGAAGGAACAATTATTCAGGCAGATTAGAAAAGCTGAACCAAAAAAATGTCTAATTTATTTTTAAAGTAAGCAGGGCCGGATTTCCCAATAGGCACTGAAGGCATGTGCTCACAGTTGCCTGTCTTAGAGGGGTGCCCGTCTGTATGAATTTTTTTTTTTTAAATCCGTTACCCAGTACACCGCTCTGACCTCCCTCCATCACCCACACTGTCTGATCACTGGAGTCTCCCCTTCCCCATACTGCACACCCCACCACCAGCTTCACCAAGGACAGCACCATTTTAGGCTTCAGATACCAGACTAGAATTTATGACACGAGGAGCCACACAACTTCTGGCAGAGGCTAATTTGTCTTCCCTGGTGTAGTGTGGCAGGCGGGTGATGTGGGGTCAAGTGGTCTGTGGTGGGTGAGAAGGTGACGGAGATAGTAGCTGCTGGGGGCCTGGATGTGAGGTGCATGTGGGGGGAGGGGAGAGACCAGATACTGGTGTGTGGATATGTGTATGTGTGTCCTAATGAGGCAGTAAAAAAAGTCAGAGGAGAGAGAATGACTGACACTACGACTCCCAGCACTAAACAGCCTGCCCCACTACAACTCCCACCACTACATAACCTTCTGTACTACAACTCCCAGCATTCCTCTATATATACACAGTACATAGTCTGCTGTAGTACAGCTTCCAACACTACATAACCTGCTGTACTACAACTTCCAACACTACATAACCTGCTGTACTACAATTCCAAGCATCCCTCTATATATACACAGTACATAGTCTGCTGTACTGCAACTCTCAACACTACATATTCTGCTGTACTACAACTCCAAACACTACATATCCTGCTGTACTACAACTCCCACCACTACATTACCTGCTGTACTACAACTCCCAGCATTCCTCTATATATACACAGTACATAGTCTGCTGTAGTACAGCTTCCAACACTACATAACCTGCTGTACTACAACTTCCAACACTAAATAACCTGCTGTACTACAATTCCAAGCATCCCTCTATATATACACAGTACATAGTCTTCTGTACTGCAACTCTCAACACTACATATTCTGCTGTACTACAACTCCAAACACTACATATCCTGCTGTTTTATAATCTCCTTTACATCAGGGTCCACAGTGTCCCCCTTATATTAGAGTTCCCCATTACATCCTGGTCCACAGAGATCCCAATTGCACTGTAAGGGGGAACCTTGCAGATTCTGATGTAAAGGGGGACTCTGGTGTAAGGGGGGCTTGGTGACCAGAGACCGACCCCCTTTAAATCACAGTCTGCAGTGTTCCCCTTTACATCAAATTCCACAGCATTCCCTTTTTACACCAAAGACTGTAGCATTTCCCCTTACATCAGAGCTCCCTTTGCATCATGGTCCGCAGAGGTCTCCCTTGCACTGTAGATTCTGATGTAAAGGAGAACTCTGAGGACTCTGATGTAAGGGGTTACTCTGTGGATTCTGATGTAAGAGGAACTCTGGGGACTCTGTAAGGGGGGGCTCTGGTGACCAGAGATCCCTAACATCAGAGTTCCTCTTTACATCATGGTGTGTAGTGTTCCCCTTAACACCAAAGTCCACAGCATTCCCCCTTACATCATGTTCCACAGTGTTCAGCTTTACATCACAATCTGCAGCTTTCCCCTTTACATCAGGGTCTGCAGAGTTCCCTTTTGCACTGTAAAAGGAAACCCTGCAGACTCCAATGTAAAGAGAAACTCTGTGCCGTATGATGCAAAGGAGAACTCTAATGTAAGGGGGAACCCTGCAGTCAGTTGCACTGTCTTTTTCTCTGTGTATAGGCTACTGAGATATAAAGCCTTTAAAGTAAGGTGTACATTGAAGGCCTTTGCACAGACCGAAACATGCATTTCCCATCACACTCACTAGCAGGGATGAGCTCAGCCATGTTCAGATTTTTTTTTGCTGGCTAGCTAATGAGATTATAGTCTGAACCCACCTGAGTTATCCCGCCAGAAAGCTGTCACTGCACACCGCCAATCATGCTAATTATATATGTCCCAGCTGCAGGGCAAGGAGTACCTCTGCCACGTATGATTGCCAATGTGCAATGAAAGCTTGCAGGCGGAATAGCTCAGGTGGGTTCAGACTATAATCTCATTAGCTAGCCAGCAAAAAAAAAAAAAACAAAACAAAAAAAAAAAAACACCAAAAATAAATTACACTGTCTAACAATTTGAGTTAAGTACTGTATATTTGCGCTCCACTAGAAGCCTGCACCAGCAGTATCTGCTGTTACTTTTCTCTTTCTCCTCTTTACGAACAGACATGATGTATCACCAAATCAAACTGCCAGCCTTGAGTACCTGCTAGCCATATGCAGCGCATCCACATCCGAGCATCCTCAGATGTCTAGAGGAACCCTAAAGGTAGTAGGAAAGGACTGCAGGCAGTTAATCATGGCTATTCTAGCAAAAACTAGAAGGATTTGAGTTCTCCTGTCACGCTATGTTTACTTTTGTACTAAAAAAATATATATATTTTGGATATTTGCTCAAAACAAATGTTATCTTGTTAATGCACTGGGTATTTTTGGCCACATAGATGAATTCACCTCTCAATCTCCATTCGCACTTGCAAAATTGCATGTGTTCCCATCAGGGCTATTTTTTCTCACAAAATAGGTGCAGAAACTCCCTCTTTTGAGTCACTTCTTGTACCTCCTAGTACCTCTACTTTTAGAGAATACAGAGCCAAGTATAATTCTGTGGTGCTAAATCATTTGTATGGAATTTGTTGATAACAAGCAAAAAATAGATCCCCCGCAGACAGCAGCATTAGACCCCCCAGCAACAATAGATTCTTACAGCAACAATGAACTCCAAAATACTACCCTAGCAACAACAGACCCCCAGCAGCTAGAACAGATCCCCCAGCAGGAAACATCAATAGACTTTCCAGCAGTCAACAGTAGGTCTCTTCCAGCAACAACGACCCCCATCAACAATAGATCCCCATCAGCAACAATAGACCACCACACAAAAATAGTTTGGACTTAATTACTTTTATAACACTCTAAGTCAGTGGGTCATCTGAGAACCCCAAAAACACAGCACTGTCTCTAGATGGCCTATATTGCATTTGATTTTCATTTGCTGAATATATGCTCAGTAAGGGTGCTGATTACAATGTCAGTAATGTTACAACAACTGTTTGCATTCATTAGCTGAGTATACGGCCTTTAGCGAGACATCTGGTTTGTTGATGTTCACTGAATGCCAGTTTCTAAAGACCATAAATTTGATGACACTGTGTCCAAGAACACCTTTGCCGTTACAGATCCCATCTGTTGCCTTGTTACTGCTGTTTATTGGAAGCTAAGCCTTACACTGTCATTTAGCACAAAAATAAAGCTCCATTATAGTACACCAGGTCACTGAGATGACAGAGGGAAGCATTTTACAGATTAGCAGACAACACACCGATGATACAGGGCATGCGACTGCTAAGTGTTCATGTATTGATTCCTGCCGTATGTGATAAGCACATTCCTTGGTGAACATTAGCTGCCATTAAACCTTTTTTGTTTTAACGGTAAAATGAAGGATCTCAGATTTTCTTCAAATCAAGTTGTTGTTTTAAAATGAGTTGAGAGCAATTATTAAAACTCGTACTTGTCTTTTTATTAGGAGGGCATCTCATGTAAGCAAACCTCTGAAAATGGCACTTTAGCTGTGAACCATATTTATGTAGTCACAAATTATTGA